TATTTGATAGTTACTAATATTAAATAGTTTTATAGTTAATTGTTGTATCATTGTGGGGATGTGGGAGCAGAAGAGCGGCCTGCAGAGAGTGCAACTTAGCGGCCCTGAACTCGTTAATGCGCCACTGGGAAAATGATGTAGCCTCACTACATGACCATTCTCATAAAAAGGAGAAGGGACAAGACAAGGAGGAGCACATAATTAATTGTCATGGGAAATGCTTTTTCCACCTGTCCTATGTGAATTGTGATCAATTGCCCTAGATTTATCATTTAGTAGGACTGGATTGATTCTGTTAAAAAATCTGAATTTCAATAGCCCTTTACAGGTGTTCTGTAGGGCTTGACAGATTGAGTCCTCTGAAATCACCTACCTAAGCAAAACATAAGGTCATGTTTCCTTATATAACTTTTCCTTCTCTTTTCTGGGAAATTAAAAAGCTTTGATAGATATATTTTCTGAAAAGGTATTGATGAACCATTTGCACTCCTCTTCTTTCATATTTCAATGACAGGGTTTCGCACAGATATACTGTATATATTTTTTATATAATTAAGGAAGAATGTTCACGACCGAAAGACTTTTAGTAACTACATTGCTCTAATAAGCAATGTAGTTACTAAAAGAAGCATGCTGGCTGACACAGAAAAGCCATGAATACAAAACAATTCATATGCAAAATGTGGCAAAACACAGAAATAGATAGAACAATGGCTTAATTAATGTATTGTGCCAAATCATCAACAAAACAGTATAAATACTTATTATACATCAATTTCCATTCCATTGTTTCAGAACCCAGTGCTGCGTTATGGAGAACATAATCTAATGGAGGACAGGGCTCACGGCTGAGCACAATCTGGATGAAATTCCGGTCCGTTACAGGTCATACACACACTAAAGTATTTTTAGAGACATTTCATATAGATTGATAGATGGAAAAAAAAACTGAACAACATTGTAGAAACCTGGGAAGAACCTAAGATGAAGACGGGGGCACATGCATAAATAAATTATTATGCTAAGAAGACAAAGATGAACAAAGTAAAAGCTACAGTTATGCAGCTTAAACACAATATTTTGCACATCTAATTGGCTGTTTACTTCAGTGATTTATCAGGCTTCACTTAGAGCAGTGCAAAGTACCTTTTAAATATAAGGAATACCACAAATTCAATTAATACAAAAAAGCTTTTACAGTTTTATTTTTCTCATCAGAAAAAAGACCTTTCAGAAAGGAAATGATGAAGTGATGTCCTAACATGATGAGTTCAAATTTATTTTCTTATTTCTTAAAGGGTGATTTGCTTTGTTTATTGTTTTATCAGAAATATTACATTTTACATTTTAACCCTTGATTTTGACAGGTGAATTTTCAGACATGTCTTTATCCTGAATTCACTTGCCAATGCAGTCAAATTAGCCCTGACAGGCAAGAATTCCTCCAGGAGAACCCAGGTGTGACACAATTCAGAAACTCCACAGAGAGAACCAGGCCCAAACACCTGATTCTCCCTTCCTGAGCTGGACAGTATTCCAAGAGTTGCCATGGAAACCCCAATCCTCCCAGCTCATTAAACCTCTATGTAAATGCAAAGGATCTATAGACCTTACTCCCACTGCATTCACACGCCAGAGATGCCACGCATCTGGTTAATGATGCACACTTCCACAGGCATGCACAGCAGCTATTGGGCAATCCTGCAGCCCTGAAAGACACTACCATGGGACATGAGTAACATATTAATGTTTTGCTCATCATACTGTATCCCAAGTGAACGTAAAAGGGAATAAAAGTAGGTCTAATTACATACACTGAGTTAAATCTGAAAATAAACCATTTAAAAATGTATGTCATACCTCACCAACACCTTTTCTATGTCCTATTTATTAAATTGTTTGTTTGTTTGTTTACTGTTAATAACAACTAACAGTAAACTAAAGTTACAAGAAACTTGTGCAGGAATTCTAATGTCTATATTTAACTTTCTAAATGCATGTAAAGTACGCAATGGTTTTGTCTTTATGAAAGTTGGACACAGGTGAAGGTCCTAACAGTACCAAAGATTTGTATATGATTGTCCTCCCAGTGGTTTTTCCAACCTGAAAGTTCTAGTTTCCTCTCTTCACCACTCCTGGCTTTTTTCTCTATTTAGAAGTTTTGTACTGTGGAACACTAATGTCTTTTATTTCCATCCATGATATTCTTCTTTTTGCTTAATCTTTGTTAGGCACTTTGGGGAAATCATGTTCAGAAGAATGCCATAACAAAATTAAACTGAATTTGACCGAATTAAACAGATTACCAATTCATTGTTCCAGCTTCTGTGCAGTTCATGTGTGTTGCATGTTTAACATCATAATTTAAAATCAGAAAACATGCATATCTTCACCGTACCATGTGCTCGGCTTCAACGGGTAGTTCATACAGTAGGTTGTCTTGGGAATAGTGTATTTTTTCCCCACTTGCTGTGTTTAACTAATTTATTTTTTATTGTTTGTTCGATACAGCACATCAAAGCAATGTTGAAAAGCAAACCAACTATTATAACCATAATTTGACACCTGTGTAGTATATCCATTTAGCTAAGAACATCAATCAAGTTGAACACAAACAATTGCAAGATTACCTGGATTTTTATGATGCGTCGAATTCCATAAACATTATTTGAACAGATGGGGGGAAATTTTTTAGGACGTGTGCAGTTCTTGAAGGAGCTCTCAATATTATGCTAACAAAATACAAAAACACATTATTTACACATTATTTAGAGTATATTAAGAATATTGCCTCTATTGATTAAGCACAGGCAAGAGTTAATTAGAGAACCATCACCAATGACTTGCTAAAGCATTTCTGGCTTCCTTCGCGTTGTCATGGAGAAGAAGATTCCCCACATCCCAGAATACTGTGGATTGAAAATGACAGTGGCAGACAGTTAATGATGAGACATACGATAGTCATTTCTTTTGTACAGAATATAACACATAAGATGGCTATTATATAGGACACTCATTCTCTGTTAGCTCATGTAGCTGTTTATTATCATGTCAAAGCCTTGGAGATACCTGGCAGTTGAAAAGATAGGCAGACATGTAAGACAAATACAAAATTCATAATTCAGTTTAGGAGATCTGCCACTCCAAAACAGGACAACTACATGTTAACTACATGACAACTACAAAATAAAACCTTTTATCCTAAGACTAAACAGCATGAGAAATATAATGGATGCAGAGACATTACAATTTTAAAACGAAAAACAGTGGTCAGGTGCACAAGCATAATTTTCCCAGGCATGGATAAATGTATCGAAAACTGATGATATGTAATATACGTAAGCCAAACCCAAACCAGAAGTAAATTAAAGATTAGGATTAAGCTAAAGCATTCCTGCAATGTGCCTGTCCTTCAGTTACCTCAATGGTATGACTCCATATGCAACATTCACTAGCAGTTAAATGCCTTAGTTGATCTGTAAATATTACGTACTGTCTGAAAGGGGATTAGCTTGGTGAGCAAGCACTGTTGCTATTATAAACATTAATTTTTCTGGGGAGTGAAGGCTGTTGCCATGGAAAGTCTATCCATTATGCATCACTTTCTTCCTGGATTCCCAGCACCAAATGGTCTTGTTGGATGACAGGGTAATCACCATGAAAGCATTGATTACTTTATATGTTTATGTGTGGATGGCACTCGTGATGAAGGTTTGCGGCGAAAGGGGTAGCCACCAATATCAATGGCCAAAAATAAATTCCTGTATTATCCCATATTATCTGAAGATAGCATCGATCTACCACCTCATCACCACTGTTCTGTTCTATCATTTTGATGTCTCAAGAATAAAGGGGATGATTACCCACCTGATGACTGGTGTGGTCCTGTCAGCTTAAAAGCACCAGTGTATGCATGAGGATTCATTTTTAAATGTACACACATGTTTAAATGTATGCACTCACAATGTATACAAGGGTTCAATGAAGGAATATAGAGCAGTGTACAAACTGGGCTCCTTCTCAGGCTTTGTACTGGATGACAATGGCCATGTGCTACGTGCTACTTGTGAGGTTTTGATCCAGAGGTGAAAGTAGGGTCTCATTATTGTTTGTTTTCCAAGACATTTGAGGATACTCAAAAATGTGCCTATTATTCTAACCCTGAAGCCAATAGGGTTGGATGCCTTTCAGTTGACAGGAAAGGAAACACAGGGTTGTCTCAGGAATCTCCACACACAACCTGCATGGTTGAGGATCTAACATCCCCCAGGAGAATAAACAAATGGAGCCAATCAGAGAAACCAGCAAGACATGCTTTTGGACCAAATATTTAAGATTATAACTACTACTGCTCACCACCATTACTTAATAATAATAATAATAATAATTAAGAGGAAGAATAAGAAGAAGATCAGTCTGACATACAAAATGCTGATTAGACAAATCCACTGAGGAAAAAAATCAATACAGACATTAAAAAAATAATAAAATAAAACACATGACAATGTAAAATTGAAAGTGGTATGGAACATGATATAGGTGACTTTCAAAAACTTTAATATTAATTAGCAGAAGAAATTTAAAGTTTAGCTCTGACCTACCTCTTAATATGAAAACAACATTCCAAAACATCCCACGTCATCCCAAATGATAATTTCACTGACGCTGCCAACAGAATTTTTCCTACATTCGTCTTTTGAGTTTCTAATACTACCCTACAATAAACCATTATGACACGACGTGATTAATGTGTGTCAGTATTTCTCCCCATTGGACCCCGCGTAGGAGCACCTGTATCTTGACTGCGAAGACAGGTATGTGAAGCCCCTCCCACTCGGATCTTCAGCCTGCAAGGGGCTGTCTGGTGCACGTTTCCCAAATCAAACTGTTTTCTCTCTCTCCATCCCTTCCTCCCTCCCTCATCTTTCGTGAACGCGCGCCGTGCACGCCGCCTGGAGTATCTGTTACCGCATATTGAATTTCCTTGCGCTCCGGGGTGATCTCCAGGAGGCAGGCTGAAGAAGCCCTCTGTGTACTCCCGTCCTCTCTCCCAGATCCTGGTGCTCGCAGGAAGTTACACCTTTTGTTGACTGCCGCGATTTGCGACACGAAACTGACGAGGATTGGTGGCGGCATGAAGCTTTCTTTTTAAAAAATAAAAATAAAAAATACGAAGACTGCGATACCACTAAGGTAAAGCATAAATTGTGTATTTAATTAAGGGGTCTCCTCTACGGCTGCAGCGTTTTGCTTAACTTTCAAATGAGTGCTGTGTTTTATCCGGTAGACAGGTGTTTCTAGAGAGTATGAGGAGCACTGCAATGCAAGTTCTTTAAGAAAACATTTTTAATAAATGATTTAAAATGATCATTTGTAAATTAGACTGTAATTTTTAACGGATCGACATCATGAGAGAAACTTTGCTTTTACTAACATCTACTTAAACTTGGACTTGACACGTGGTTGCTTAAGACATAAGTAACGGGAATTGAAATTAGTGCAGCTTTCACAGTATGTAGAATTTATACATTCATTATAAATGTATGTCCGCGCGTAACTCCTCATGATCAATACCAAACAAATGAAGACCCCGTCTTCTGTTCATTCACCGAAACTGGAATAATCGATAACATTTTCTAAGTGTATTTCTGGCGCTTATGTATTATTGTACTTAAACATATATATGTATTTGTATGTGCATATATATATATGTATATATATATATATATATATATATATATATATATATATATATATATAAAACCATCAACGCTAATCGGAAAATCATTATTCACTTGTTGATGACTTTTTGTTTAATTTGTTTAAACTCCAAGAAAACTAAGTTGCAACATGCAACACACGCTACTTGTATATCTGTTTCTGGTGTTTCTTAGTATTGTGGCGATCCGGAACGACAATTGTAATGTACATAAATCGCAGAACTTAATACAATATCGTATTCATTCACGGCTACTGCATATATATGTACTATTGTCTCTGTCTGAAAGGTGCTTGTAGATGTTTTATACGCAAGTGAAGAGAACTCTTATTCCCGTAGGCTGTATTTTCGCGACACAAATGTTTGTGAGTTAATTGATTAGATGTGTTAAAACCATTATAGTTATTCCTAAACTATCCGGTTCGTATAGATATGTGCCGCTGTGGATTAATATACCTACATTTGCTTGTGTTCTACCACCGACAGTGCAGTCGGCACTTCAATAGCTGTGCGCAAGCCCAGTGCTATAAGCGGAGCTACAGCGGCCCCCTGCCTTCTACTGTAATACTTTGAATGTTCCCTTTTTCACTTTCTTTCCTTTCGGTCAATATTGTACCATGGTTCCCTGACATTTAGAAGTGCTATGACATTTTTGAGTCATTACCTAAACTGAATGTGGCCACTACATGTGTTTTGGTCTTCTGGGTGTCCTGATTTCCTATCGAAGTTACATTGTTTCACATAGGCCTATAGGGCAACTGTACAACACTTTAATCAACAACGAATTACTGTTTCACTGTTCCCCCTAGAGGTACACAAACATTGATTTTCAGTTCACCAGCCTGGATCATAAATTGTAATTGTAATGAGCAGTATTTGGAATTGAGATGTCGGGCTTGTGTATAAAATATAAAGTATTTATAGTATAAAGGCTGAGGCTGGCAGACCCCGGCGTTGTGCGATTCTTTACTTCCTGCGCCCAGCTAACTTGTGGAAACGTATTTGCATGATCCAGTCAGAGATTAATGGCAGGAGATGATTTTTGTTTGATATACTTTTGTATATTTCATTTTCTTATACTTCTAACCCCAGAGCACAGTGCATGACTTATGGTGGCAGATGCTGAAACCTGCCTTTATAAAATAAAAAATGAAAACCCAGGGAGTGTGCAGAGGAATAGTCTTGCGTACTTAGCACTTCACTGCAGCTTGTTACTGTCTCTGTTCTGTCTGAATAGACCCACAAATTGAGTCCAGTCCAGCAGAAATGGGCCAGCAGCTTCTTGTTTGCTTAGCATTGTTGAGAAGCTCAGGTATTTGTGCCTGTCAGCCTCTTTCCCTGCTCTTGGACTTTGTATTGAGTGATCTGGGCATCATTTCGAGTTTCTTTATCATCTCTAATGCCAGCATAGGACATTGTTACTGTGACACATTTTATGTAAGCAGACTGTTTATTCAGAGTAGTTAAACAAAAGCAACTAAAATAGCAAATACAGTTCAGTTTATACCTAGATTAACTTGCACTTTCAGCAAAGGTTCATGGCTACTGCATCATCATGAATGAAATCACGGTACTGACATATGCAGAAAATACCAATACGCGACCTCAAATCCCCAGACTTTCCACTGTGGCATTTAAAATCTACAGAAGCCAGTTATCTTTTCCTTATAAAAGGCAGTCACATATGTGTGAAAAAGCTGTTGGACTATGATATAGCCTTCATATATTGACTTTGTAATATAGTGCACCTTTATAGCCTAGTGAGATGCCAGGTTGGGATGATCAGGTCATTTTGCAAGTCTCTGCAATAGTTAACATGAGGCTATAAATGAAGAATTGAACCTAATTACGGAAATAATGCGTACAAGACAATGTGCAAATTATATATATATATATATATATATATATATATATATATATATATATATATATATATANCACTGAAACCCTGGTGAGTGAAGACAGGCTTTGGTACAAATTTGCGTACAAGACTTAATCACTTCCAGTTTTCAAATTATCTTTCCCTTTTAGATATGTTGTATGTTTGGCATATTAAAATATTGTTTATCTGTACACTGCACACAGGCTGATCTACTTTGTATTCTGCGAGAAAGCTTGTGGAACTCAACTAGGGAAAGGGTACTCTTAAAAATAACTAAACTGGCTGCTAACTGTCTTAACAACTGTCAGTGCAGTTACAAAGAGGCAAGAACTCCCTATGTCTAAAGAAAAGTAGAAAGGTAAAATCTGTGGCTTTTGCCTCTGACAGAACATGCAATTTTAAGTCACTCAGCATGTCTTCTGGCAGTGTATTTAAGCATATAACACGTTCAATTCTAAACTGGTTGGGGCTGAGCAAAATTCATGCCTCTGCTTGGTTTTTCCCTCTTGGATGCCACAGTTTTATTAAAGTAAGAAATATATGTATTGCTCCATGTATACAAAAAGACTCTATTGGGTGAACCAGTGATGACGTCATATGGTGTCTTAGTTGGATAATGATGTTTTAGAACTTAAATGAAGGTAATTCAAAACAAACATGGGGTTGTATGCAATTTTTCTGATTGTTGTGATGATGTGGTTGATTTGTGTTGTACAGTCTCAGCCTTACAAAAGGTTTTCAAAATAATAATTATGATGAATTATGATGTTACATGTGGGTACATATGTTAATTGGAAAGTAACAGTCAAGACTGATCTCACTGGACTGATTTAATAGTTCACAGTTTTAGGCACATAATTTGTTTAGTTTGATTTGATAGTTTACAGTTTTAGGCACATAATTTGTTTCGTTTGGCATATACTACACAGTTAAAAAGCAAATCAACATATTGGTGTTAAGGACAGCTGTAAGTCAGTATACTGGTATTATGTGTGGTTGAGAAATGATACACTTGGTCTACAAAAACTTGAAAGGCTAGACAACATATAAATAAATTAAACAGTGAAGTTGTGCACATATGAATACTTTATAAGCGACAGTATTATACGCTGTAAAGAGTGTGAGTATTTAGGAACTTCCACATTTCTGTGCAGTTTGGTTGCACATTGTAAAAGGGCACCTCAACACCATTCTAAATGTGCATGCTCACTTGATAGATGATGCATGCTGAGGTGCATCAGTATAATGGTTTTAACGCAGCCCCCAAGAAAGGGCTGGGCCTGCTCTTCAGCAGGTCTGCTTTCATCCTCCCCCTCTCAGACGTGGCCCCAGTTTGACTTGATTTCTGCTCACAGTTGGCTCCAGGATCTGGGTTCTTCGGGCGCAGAGCTTGCCTCTACTCAGTCCGCCATCTGTGTCTCTGGCAGGCCCTTCACCTTCTCACCCATTGTCTCTTCACTCCCTAGACGTTTCAATACCTTTGGAAACTGCCTTCACCATTTCCCTCACCTCCTTCCTTTCGTACGGCCTCCAGCCATGCATCAATCAGCCATCCGCTAGTCACCTGTCCACTCCCTGACCTGAACTCATCAGTCCCCAAGCAGGCGTAGCAGTCACCTGGCCTGCTGTCATTCACCTGTCCATTCTCCATGCCACCCCTCTTTATCAGCAAAGGGCAGACAGTGGATGCTTAATGAAGCAGGAGCTCTGCTTTTTGAATCATCCATTAATCACACTATCAGGTAGAAAAAAAATTATAGGGAGGGCTGGGAGGAAGAATTCTGTGAATGATAAGATCAGTGTAGCACATAGTGGCCTTTACGTGCTGTCTTGGGATCAAAAGAAAACTCTTTCTAATAGAAATTAAATAGATGATGGTGTTAGGTTTGTGTAAGTATACAGTCTTTAGTGATTTACTGTTTTAATGTTATTTTTCCTCCAACATCATGAAGAGTGCCATCAAAGGCCATTGAGATGCGGATCTTTTTGCTGTTATAAATATGGATTGATGGTACCATGCACTACATACATTCAAGGTATATGATTGTCCTATTGATTGAACCGATTCCTGAAAAGGCTCATCTTTCACACAGTAAGCCATGTAAACCAAATAAAGACAGATGTAATTCATGTATGCACAATGCCTTTGTGCATCACCCAACATGTGTAAAACTTTGCTATTCAGCAATTTAGCATTTAGAACCAGTTGCCATTTGAGTCTATGAAGTGAAACAGTAAGTATGCATCCAGTTCAGATGGAACCTCTAAGTCACCTGTAGGAAGCTTTGAGATGTCTTAAATAGTACAGTGGAAGCATTTCATCAGCTAAAAATACAGTGATAATTAGAAGAATAATAACACTATTGGAGAGAAGTAATTAGTTATGTTAGCCACACAGAGACTCCAAGTGCGCCCTACTTTTATGCAAATTGCATGTATGGATCTTATTATTTCTTTGCATGGTGTCTGTAATGTTGTTTTTTTGGCATTTTATGTGATGTTTTATCTAAAATGTGACAATGATAACCATCTGTTCTGGCTTTGTGCCTTGAATGTCCAATTTCTATCAGTGAGCTGTGTGATACGGTTGCA